CGTCGAGCCGAACATTCCCGACGCTCCATCTCCGGGTCCTCTACACACGAGTACTACCACTTCGGCATCTCCATTGCTGGAACAGACGGCCACGGTCGCGCAGCCTCACCTCGATGAACTTGCTGCACCCACTATGCCCTCGACACTTTCGACTGCTGATGATCCAAACCCGTCCAGTCCACCAGCTCCAGCCTCGGATATCATTGCCAGTTGATCTTCATCGGTCTCACAATTTTGCCCACTACTGCCCACTCTCCCGCGGCAAAAAACGACGCTGCGCAGCAACCACTAAGCATCCATCATGCACCCTCCTCTGTCCCCCCTACTCTACTCCCTGTAGTTTGCTTCAGTCGCCCCATTTCACCTCAGCCAGTTGACATTCTCAAGCATACACCATGTCCTTTTCTGATTCTCCCACCATTAGTGAACGAGGCAGTCCTCCTTTTCAGACATTCACCATGCCTCACTTGCCTCCGCGACAACTTCATCCAGCAGTACGGCAGCATTGGACCATCAATTTGCTTTCTTGGATTATTGAATGCGTTCAGATCCATCCTGTTGTTCTCCAACCTGTACCTCCCCAAGATCAGTTTCCCATTCAAAAGGCCTACCACCATTTCCGTGAATTTCGCATCATTCTGTTGGAACTCGGCATCATACGAGATCGAGTCGATTCCGCTCTTCGGCAAGTCCAAGAATTTCCTCATGATGACCTGGCTGCCCTCACTCGCACATGGCATCAAGCTAATAATATCAGCTACATGGACGGTTTTAGCCGATCAGGTCCTGCTCTATACGAGATCCTCCAGACCACCAACTGCCACGAGATGGACCACACACTGATGCCATTCGTCTGCAGCCAACCCCGCAACATGGCCACTCTTCTATTCCGCCACCTTTCAATCCTCGTGGCCGCTCACGCACTCCACCGGGTCGCACGGATGATACTACACCTTGGACTACATCCAGCCGTACTACCTCTCAGAGTACCTCTCCAGCCGGACGCGCAGGCATGCCTCTCTTTGGCAGGCCACGCATGGACGCCGAGATCCCGTAGCCAGTTTCACAGGGTCTCCTCCATGAAGAACCTGTGTCCCTGCTACCTAGCACCGAGAGTTTTTGCGAGAAAAATCATCTTTGCAATGCGACCACTACAAACCACTTCCCTTTATACTGACCCTACGATCCAGGTTCCCCCTACATCATACCCATGGCCTCTCTCCTGCTTTTCCCCGCTCCAGGCTCCAGGCCCGAATCACACGTTGCTCCGAGTTCCCCTGCCCCTTCAGCTGCCATGGCCATATCGACGTCGCCAAGCTCTCTTACCATTGTCGATACCGTTGGTGAACTTGCTTCCCTCATCGACCGACCTCATCAGTGACAATTTCGTGACGCCCATTCTGGGACAACTGTTTTCTCAGATTCAGTCCGCCTCGATGTGCTCACGCACCTCCGGAAGAAGCTCTTGAACCCTTCGCAGCATCTATTCGCGCCTGGAACACCATTCCTCAAGAAGCCCGCCATGCATTTCGCTACTTCTTGAACTACCCGACACCTCCAGGCAGTCCACGACGGCTATCTCGCTCTCCACGCCGACAAGACACCTCATTCCCAACGTTCCGCTCTCCACAAGACCGAGCACCAGAAAGCACTCTATCGGCGACTACTATATCCTCTTCTACATCTCTATCGGCGACTACTATATCCTCTTCTACATCTCCTGAAGACACAGCGGCATCCTAACCCATAGTCAGCTTTTCTTTTGATCGAGATTTCTTTCCTTGTGCATTGGGAGAGTGCTGTGTACTGGGTTTGAAACGTCCTTGCCTTCTTCCGTAGCATGGCGTGCAAAAACATGCACGGTGCCGTGGTGGGTGTCAGTGGGTTTGCGACGATGAGGAATCTGGTCGGCGCGGCTCTTCTCTTGGAGGCGAGGAGTATACAGTGAAAAGTACCTTGTGTTGACATATTCGTTGGCATCGTTCTTCCAGTCGGAGTGAGTCCACTGCTCGAGGTCCTGGAGGTCCTTAGCGAGGATGCCCGCAGCGGTAAGAACCTTGGCTACATAGTTCAGCATAGGGGAATTGCGATCAGAGAGCTGATCACATTGGTGATGTAGATAGCGCAGGATGCGTTTGAAAGTATCGGTGCCGTAGGTTTGGCTGGCGTTGTCTCGATCGGCTTCAGTGTAGGGATTGGGAGGCCGTCAATGAGGCTCAGCGGCTTCAGTTCGTGTGCTGGTGGCGACGTGGAGGCCCTTAGGGCGTGGGGTGTTGGCGGAATCCGGGGTGGAAGCGGAGGCCGTGGCATCCGAATGCTGAGGGTTGGGGGTGAGTCGGATGTTGGAGCGATGAGGGGAGCGGGACCGAGCCCTGGTGTTGTAACTGGTCAATGGTGGTGGAGCCCAAATACCGCGCTTGGTTGGTGGATTTGCAGGTGGCTGGGGGCGGGTGACTGGACGTTGTTTGGGACCAGAAGCTGCCAAACTCCTGGGAGTGGTGGTAGTAGTGGTGGTCGATCGTTGACGGACGGTGGCTTTAGGTTGGGGTGGTGTCGGGACTGCGAGTGAGGGTTGCGTGGGTGGCGGATGCGGCGTGGGAACTGTAATATTGATTGGCGTTGGTCGTGAAGCGGTGGTGTCCTGGGAAGGTGTGGCAGGCGTAGCTGCTGCGGGTAAGGAGGTGGCGTTGGTGGAGGTGTGAGCTTGAGTCTGAGTGGTATCCGTGGTGCCCGTGGATGTTGGTGCTGTGGCGGTTGTGTCCTGGGATGTGCTCGGTGGAAGAGCTTGGGGCTGCCCAGTAGGGGCTGCTGGTGCAGTTGGTGTGGGGACGGCTGTGGGTGGAGAAGTATTGGCGGGGAGTTGACTGGGGCGTATGGGTGTGGATGTGGATTGAGGATGTTCGGTAGGAGTTGCAGCGGGTGCAACCGCCGGTGGGGAAGTTGGCCAATAGGACTTTGGGGCTTTGGGGATTCCAATGTAGGGTGTGAAATTGGAGGCAAAGTGGAGGCATATTGAAGCTGTGGGTGATGTAGAACTGGCTGAACTGGCTGGAGCTGAGGCACTGGGATCTGCATGCTGGGGAATGTTCCGTACGGAGTCGATGGTGCCACCAAAGAGGTCGGTTGTGACATAGGACTGTAAGGTGTTGGTGCACTCGTCGTAGGGGAGGGCTGAGGAACCCACTGGTAGTTCATGGCGTCGCAGTGGAAAGCCGTGAGATGGAGGCTGAGCGACGAAAAGTGGTGCAAGCGCATGGACCTCGTACCGTGCCTGAAGTATCATGCTGGATCCTGCCTATGATGGCTTAGTCGGAAATCTGTACAAGTGAATACTTAGACGCATGTTTCCATGGTGACGTAATCCCGAGTTTTGATAAGAGTGAGCCCTGCGGCGTAGGATCAGTGGTATCGTGCATCACCGCCATTCAGTAAGGATCTGACAGGGTCAGGATGCATAACGGAGATTCAAGAAGACTCCCCCAGGATCTGGGTCTGTGCACATGCTGCGCCCCTTGGCGGGGATCGCACCACAGCCCTCAGTGGGACCTTGTGGCGAAAACACACTTAGACTTAGATTGTTGCTCGCAAGAGCTAGGATCAGTATGAAGTTCCCCTTGACTTGATGGAACGGAAAGAAGCACAATCCGCAAGGTGGTAGAGTCAGCGAACTTGTAGATGTTTAACAAAGTTTGGAAATGCATTAGCGGGTTACTGCAAAACACAGGATTGGACAGCTTGTCAACAGTTGAAATATTAAAGCAGGTACGTGCAATCTGCGTCCAGATTGCATATCACAGCAAACTTGAAGTGTCTTCGTTGAGCGGTGACTTCAAGAATGCCCGCCGCTCCCCTGCTGCATGGAAACAAAACCGAGTGAGACAGTATCACAAAGTTGTCCAATTGAAAGTGTCGTGAGTTGGTTGTGAAATCCTTGGACACAGGCGTTGACACACACTTATGGATATGCGTACTGACTCGACAGCGGTGCCACACGCCGGCCTGAGTGAAAACTTAAGGAACCAGGACAGGTGTCAGAAAGTGGAGGCCCTTACTGCAAGGTTGGAGGCCAGCAAGGCCCAAAACACGAAAAGCGAGTAGCGATTAGTAACAGAACCACATGAACCACCATGAAAGCAAACCACAGCGAGAACAACAGGTAACCAGTTTGGCAGGTACGTTTGCACGGACCCCAGAGGAGGTCTTCGTTGGCCACCGCTCCTCTGGGGCCCCGGTGGCCCCCTGCGGTAAAAGTGGAAGCAAAACCAAAAACCCCCTGCTGTAAAAGTGGAAGCAAAACCAAAAACCAAACAATCCGAAAGGATCCCTGTGATTCCAAGGGTTACACACACACACGCCTCCCCAAAGGGAGGCAAATTTCTCGGTAGGTTTACCTTTTGATATTAAGCTCCGGACGGGTCAAAGCCAGGTGTTCTTCTGAACCAGGCTCCGGACAACTCAAAATGGAGGAGGTGAGATTTCAGTGAGG